GATAGGTAGCCATATGCATCTGATTAATAAATAGAATATCACCAGTGATGAGGCTTGAGTTAAGATGCCTCCTTTTACCCAGAAGCTTATTTTATGGTGAGCGGGAGAGGGCTGTCAGACTATATGGTACTGCCTTTGGGATTTGCTTTCCTACCCACTCTGTAAAGGTATATTTATTTCATAGGCTCTAATTTTAATACTTAATTGATGGATAAGTTTAATTTGTATTGTTAATGTTGCATATTCTGCAGGAAATTTGGACCTAATGTAAGTAAATAAAAAGAATAGTTATTTTATTTCTGTCCAAGTTGAAGGATGAAATAGACAAACATGTATGTGAAAAAATAAGTTTGCAACCAGGAATGTAACAGACCAGTGTGCATCTGACATTCTTTATTGAATTCAGAATCAGTTGATTATGCTCAAACATTAATCCAAAGATTGGTATTAATAAATAACAAAGTATTTTTTAAAAGTAAAGAAAAAGTAAATAGCTAATAAAAATAATTCATATTGACCTTCATAATGCTTGCCATGAAATTTACATAAAAGCAGAAAAACCTTTGTATTGCAATGTACCAATTTTACCGATATAAACATTTATTGTTCTCAATGCAAAGAAACTCAATAGTTTTCAACAGGCTTGTTCTTGCAGGATGCTACCACATTTCATAATAAATATTTTCTCATGGAATGAGATCTATAACACATTACATGCAGTTGTGAGTATTGTGTGAAACACATTTTCACGACTGTCCCAAGTTTCAGTGGTAAAGAACAATTTCTCTTTTATGTTAAAAACAGCTAATTGCTTTGCAATGTGGCTACATACTTAAAGTAAAATATGTAATTCTGAAATCTGCTGGTCAGGCTTATTTATAAAAAACTGTTGCAAATGCGGACTTATTGCCTGATGTTCATCTTTTAAATGAGCCACTTTCACTTAAAATAAAGCAAGGATGAGCAGCCTAGTAGTTGTGGGCACCAATGTCTGTCTCCCCAACACCCACTAGGTGTTAAAAAATGAGTGGAAAACAGGCATACTTGTTTATTTTATTTATTTTATTTGTCAAACGTGTACAAGATTACAGGAATAAGTATAAACAAGGACATGAACAAGGAATGAGTACAAGTAAATGGGGACAGTAGGACGGACGGCAGGCATGATGCATGCCCCCTTTAAGGACCTCTTAGGAATGGGGTGAGGTCCACGGTAGACAGTTTAAGGTTAAAGCTGTGGGAGTTAGAGGATGCAACAATGGAGGTAGAGCATTTCAGGCATTGACCACTCTGTTGCTGAAATCGTATTTTCTGCAATCAAGTTTGGAGCGGTTTACCATGAGTTTGTATCTATTGTTTGCCTGTGTATTACTGCGATTGAAGCTGAAGTAGTCATTGATAGGTAGGACGTTGTAACGGACAATGTTGTGTACTACGCTTAGGTCAGACCGTAGGTGGCATAGTTCTAGGTTGTCTAAACCCAAAATTTCAAGCCTGGTGGCATAAGGTATTCTATTGTGAGCACAGATACCCATCCTAGAACAAAAACCCTGGGTGACTCAACAATTATTAAAACCAAAATATTGCAAAACTGAGCAACACTACCATCATTTGTCCTCATTAAATGCTATAGGACACATAGACATCCTTTTTTTTTAAAAAAGTGGGTGGATACACCCCAATACTTTTGAAATGTTTCCATCTGCTTAAGACGAAAGAAAGACTGGCATGGAGCATTCTAAGGAGTTCCAGAAAATGACAACAGGGTTTGGGGGGGGGGTGTCAAAACAATAGGGTTTAGGACCGGATGTGCCATCATTTTATTAGAGTGTTCTCAAAACTCCAAACCATCACAACCACCACCCAAAATGTTGCCAATATCTATCTTTTTTTCTAATTTTGATAACTGGAAGATATCCAGCATTTAAATATTTGTCTGAATGTTTAATCAGTAAGACATCAAGCCATCCGTTAGAAATGTAGCTAGAAAAGAAAGTGCAAGTGAGGGAGAAAATATAGAAGATAAGACAATACAACAAAATTTAAATGGAGCATACTGAATCACTCCTGCTGATCCTGAATATTTCTAAAAATGAAGCAATTATCATTGATTCAGTTAGAACAAAATTTCTAAACTGGTGCCCTCCACATATTTAAACAATCCAAGGAAAGACAGAAGTAGAAACTTAACCTATTATGAGCCATTTAATTTATCAGATGTTATTTATATCAAGTTCAGCTATGTAAAACATACAATTAATTATCAAGGCACTAGGAGTTTCTGTATCTGATACATCGATGAAATGTATTAATTAAAAATAATAATAACCTGTAACTTTCAAAATCAATACAATGCATGCTAGGATACAATTTAGCTAGATAGATTTCTCACATTAACCTATTTTTGTGGAGTAGTTAAAGTATTTGATTAGGAACAGAAAGAGTGAAATTGAAATCTAGTCTCGTCTATGGGAGTGGACTAAATGATTCTCAGATCAAATCTCAAGTCTGGATCAATTAATATCTCTTAGATCATATCACCTCAGCATTGTATTAGAAGAAGAAATTGTAAGGATACCATCTTGACTTCCTGGAGGAAAGATGGAATTTAAATCATAATAAAAATATTTTATGGATTAAGACTGGGTCTACACATCGAGGTAGCTGCAATGACTGAGCTCATACATAAATGAACCTTGATGAATACAGAGCTTAGTTAACAATGAAATGAAGTGAAATTCATCTTAAAATGAATATCATTCTAACTAATTAGGACCGTGGCAATGAATTTTTACGTTTTTAAAAACGTAATAAAGCGTAGCTGTTTTACATCTACTAGTTTAGAAAGCTGACTCCTATTCCTGCCATAATTTCTATCCAAAAACAATTTTCTCCAAGGTTTTCTAAAGCTCTGTGTGTAATTGCTGCCATGTAAAACAGCATAGAACCCTGTAGATCTTATTCATAGTAATTGTATAATTCCTTGTTAATGCTAACCAACAGCTCAGCATGTGAATTAACAAGTGTTTCATGGCTTTTTGTCTCCATTAACAGTCTTGAAAATGTGCATTAAGCACCAAATAAATGCCCTTGCTACATAGGACATTGGAAGACAGTGGAATTACCTTAGCTATTGTCTGTAGCTCACTTATAGCTTAATCTTTGCCATTTGTTCAAACTGCCATGTACCTTTGTCAAACTACATTTCTTTGTTGCTTTAACTTCTGAATTATTTGTTTCCTCATATAAAATCCTGTTTTATCTCTCCATTCATCAATGAAACAGCCTTCACTCTGTCATTTATAGAATCCTTGACTCTTAGGTTGAAGAGCATGAAATGTTAAGATTTAGTTAAAAAAAAAAAAAAAAGAGTCATGGAAATAAATGGTTCTACTTCTTCCCGTTCTGATTATTGCATATAGTATGCATTTATTACCAATAATCAACAAGGTCAGAGAAAAGGAAGGCTTTAAAGGTTTGGAAATGAATTTAGATGGCTTCTAAACACTCCTTATGACAAGGATTTTCAGCTCAGTGATAATACCCTCGATTTCCAATTGCTGTTTCTCTTCCTATTGTTGCCAAATACAGATAGTCTTCAACTAACTAAACCATTAGTTAGTTTAGTGACTATTTGAAATTATAATGGCACTGAAAACAGTAACTTATGACCAGTTCTCACACCTATGACTGTTGCAGCATCCCAATAGTAACATGATCAAAATTTGGGCGCTTGTCAAGTAGCATGTATATGCAACGGTTGTAGCATTTCAGGGTCTGGAATTGTCAACTGAAACCTTCCTAGGGAGGTTCTGACAAGCAGTCAATGGGAAAAGCAGGTTCACTTAACAAATGCATGATTCATTTCACAATTGCATGATTCATTTAACAACCATAGCAAAAAAATAATAATTATAAAATGGGGTATGACTTACCTAACACTTACTTAACAACAGAAATGTTGGGCTTAATTGTGATTGCAAGTGGAGAACTACCTGAATATTTGAATCATGGTGAAGGGCAAAACATTCACCCTATTTTACTGAGCAATCAGTTACTCGGATATAGCAACACACAAGTATGAACGGTGACTACTGGATATTTTCTAACAGCCCCTTCCCTACCAGTTTGGACCCTTCTGTAAGAGCTTCATCTTTGTAGGCTCACTGCACAGCAAATTGGATTATTTATTTAGCATATGACAATGGTACAATTAACAAGGAGACTACAATGTTAATACATAGTAGTTATTTGGCTGCCGAAGAGTGCTAGTCCATTTAGTTTGTGCTCACACACTTATCCAGGGGTGCACCACAGGGGGAGAACTTGCTCTGCACCAGAAAGATGAGCGGCATTCTATGGCATCATCCAGAGGCTTCTTTCACCACTGATGTCTCCTTGCAGTCAGGCATCGTATCTGAGCAGGTCCAACACTGGCAGGGGTCTGACCATCTGCCTGAAACACCACCATGTTTCCCACTAAAGTGGTACCTATTTATCTACTTGCATGTAGCATCCTTTCAAACTGCTAGGTCGACAGAAGCTGTGGCAAGTGATGGAAGCTCACTCTGCCACACAGTGCTAGGACTCGAACTGCTGAAGCAGAGGTCATCTTCAGCATCTTTAAGCCATTGAGCCACCTCGCCTCTTAGCAGATTGGATACCTGATAGATATAAAAGTTATTCTCTCTCTCAGTCTCTCAGTCTCTCTCTCTCTCCTTCCCTCCCTCCCTCTCTCTCTCGCACACACACCCTTCTCCCCTAGAGTGTCTCACACAGTGATGAACGATCAGCTTTTTAAAGTAAACATCCAATCTGTGTTGAATCTTAGAGTACATATAAATAAAATTAGTGGCAATTCTAATAAGTGCTTTCATACTCCAGGCATCCACTTAAAAGCAGATGATTCATTTTTAACAGTTATGTTCAAATGATGTTCACTAATGCCTAAACACATATTGGTATAATCTGCAGACTGAGAAAGGAGTCATTGCTTAAAGTTCTATTCTACAAAAACAATAATTCAAATTTAATGAACCTAGAATATGTTGTATGACTTAAACACTTTTGTTCATTTTTGCCTCTTTCCGCAAAATAGAAGATTCTGAATAGTCGTTCTGTTTGATTCTGGTGTTTAATGTTCATCCATGGTGCAGATTAAAAGTCAGCAATCTGGTAAGAACAACAAAATGCATGTAACCAAGCACGTAGTTGGATATCTAACAGGAAATATCAGAGCTAATTGTTGAAAGTGGTCCCATGTAATTTCAGCACATCCTTACAATGTAATGCCAGCAATTTTGCCAGAGCTATAATTTCCCAAACATAATGAGTTGGCCATTACATGTGTAATGGATGCATATATTCAGGCTAATAGAAGCTGTACAGCTATAGTCACAGTTTTATTTGACTTTATCTTTGCTACTCTAGTCACTTTAAAATGAAATGTGTGAGAGAATACTGAACAAAAAGGCTTAGATCTTGCACTCCCACAACTTAAAACATCCTATCTTGCATGCAGAGGGAGATTAGATTATTTGAGCCTAACTTCATTTGCCTTCCAAATACCATAGGTTTTTATTTTCTGGTCTGGATCAGGGGTGGGTTCTACTTACCTTTACTACCGGTTTGCAGTGGGGTCGCGCACATGTGCAGAAGTGTTCTGATGATGTCGGGGTTGGTGGACGGAGCCTCCTGCCAGTTTTTTTTACCAGTTCTATAGAACCAGTCCGAACCGAGGGCAACCCACCACTGGTCTGGATTTCAGAAGAAAAACCTAAAGACAGTAATGACAGAATAGCTTCTTTCTCCAATAACTATGTAGTGATTCTGGAAAGGCAATTAGTCCTCTTCATGGTTTTGGTTACGTAAGACCTATGTAATCAAAGCTACTCCATACATAAAGAGAAGTCTTCAATCTTTCTGAAAATCCTCTGCTTCATCAAAGTTTCATTCCATCACACACCCTCCAGCCCTGATATAAGTTGAGATACATATTGTGGATTTCTAAAACTAAGTCTGTAAGAAGGGGTGGAGAGCCAAGTTTGTCTTTGATGGATTCAATTAGAATGAGACTACTACTACACTAAAAAAATATATATGCCGTATTTTTCGGAGTATAAGAAGCTCCAGAGTATAAGACGCAGCTTAGTTTTTGGGGAAGAAAATAGGGAGAAAAAAATCTGCCTAGCAGGTATTTATTGTCTAGTGTCCTTAGTCTGGTCAGCTTCAGCACATTAGTTTGCTGGTTTTGAGCATATGCATGCACACTTTTTATCCCCTATTTCTAAAGCACAGCTGAGAGTCAGAGGGAGCAGGCAAAGCACGGAGATCGCTTCACTCGCTAGCCCCTTGTTAGGGCTGAAAAAAAGTTCTAAAGCACAGCTGAGAGTCGAGGGAGGGAGCAGGCAAAGCAACGGAGATCGCTTCACTCGCTAGCCCCTTGTTAGGGCTGAAAAAAAGCTTCAAAAAAGCTACATTCGGATTATAAAACGCACCCAAATTTTCAGCCTCTTTTGGGAGGGAAGTTCATCTTATACTCTGAAAAATATGGTATATTAACCAATAATATATTAATCAAACTATTTAATATAGATTATGTCATAATTTGAATTCCCAAATATTGTTTTATGTCTCTCTGTTTGCCTGGTATTGATCCCTACTTATCCCTAATGACCTGGAAATCTGGCATTCAGACAAAGCCATGTAAAAAAGTAACACACACACACACACACACACACACACACACACAAAGGCAGAAAGAAAAAGACTACAACACATATCTTCCAACAGCCAACACTGAGATAAGCAGGGATCAAATACTAGACAAAAGATCAGGCAGAAAACCAACTCCAATCAAGGAAGCAATAAGGAGAAAACCACATCCCCACCAATAGTAGCATGGCAAGCCTCTATTTATTAACAGGGAGCAAACCTCACACTCACTTGCAGTGAAGTTACATAACAAAACATCTGTAAGTAAATAAGTTCTGAGAGTCCATAGTTCAATGCTGAGCTACTCTCTTCTATTGAAACAATTATTATTTTAGTGAGCGGTTTATGCTTCTAGAAATAATTTGCAAGTGAGAGATGTCCTGATGAAGAAACCTGTCAGAATCTCTTTAAAATTCATTAAACAGTTTTATATAAAAGGAAATGGATGAATAACAGTTTTCCCAACCTTTTATTCTTGAATGAGCTGGAACCACAGCTCCCCAAATTTGTATCTGAGTTTTCTCCAAACCATTTTTAAATGACAGATTCTAGGAATTTCAGTCTTAAAAACATCCATCTAATAATCCCGCCATTTTCCCACAAAGAAAAAAATAGAGATGCTTCTAAGGATCAAGAAGCAAGGGAAGATGTTAAGCAATAAAAAACAAAAGTTAATCATGCCTTGCTACATTAGAGACAGCTGTTGGGCTCTGTTGCTTGGTTTGATGGCCAGGAAATCATAGCATTTTCTTGTCACAGCTACTTCAGCCCATTTGGAGCTATTCTCTCATTTAACTTACTCTCTCTGCATTAACTCATCCTTCCCTCTTTCCCCACTTAACATCATTATGTATTTAGGGTAAGCTACAGCATGGAAGAAAGCTTATGCAATGAGTAGGCTATCTGGTAGCTCCTGGCAAAAAATGCTGAACTTACTTAATGGAAATTATACCCTCAGAACCAACCTGACTAGCTTACTAATAAATCTGTGCAAAACTTTAAAGAACCATTTCACCCAGATGGTTCAAGCAAAATACTTCCTCAAAGCTCTTCATGTAACAATGTGGTCACCTTGCTTTTAAGAGTGGAATGTCTGTGTAATTTTATGTTGCTGAGCTTCGCAGGCCCTCTAAGTCAGGGTGTCAAACTTGGGGCGTCATGTTATTGTCACATGACATATCGCAACTTTTTCCCCCTTCACTAACCAAGGGGTGGACGTGGCCAGCGCATGATGCATCTGGCCCACCGGCCATGAGTTTGACAACCCTGCTCTAAGACACTGTCTGCAGAACTTGTATTATGTGGGAGGACTGAAAGACTCATTCTATAGTGAATGCTGAAGGATAAAGGAATCTACTGCTATAGTGTTAATTGCAGTTCTCACATGTCCAGCCTGAAAGCACTTCAGCCAGAGTTGGGAGAGACAGGTGAGAAGTCACCTGCAGCATTGGTCTAAAGTGGAGCCGTGGTGGCACAGTGGTTAGAATGCAGTATTGCAGGCTAATTCTGCTCACTGCCAGGAGTTTGATCCTGACCAGCTCAAGGCTGACTCAGCCTTCCACCCTTCCGAGATTGGTAAAATGAGGAGTCAGATTTTGGGGATCAATATGCTGACTCTGTAAACTGTCTAGAGCAGCGGTTCTCAACCTGGGGGTCGCGACCCCTTTGGGGGTCGAACGGCCATTTCCCAGGGGTCGCCAAAGCCCTCTCTCGCCCCCCCCCGCCTTCACTCACCTTCTGCCTCTGCTGGATCGCCCGGTCGCCGTTCGCTTACCCCGCCCATTCCCAATCTATTGCTGCTTCGGAGTCCCAGCTGATGGCTAGAGGGAAAAAAACTTTAAATTCTTGCTGCGGGGCTTCAAAGAGCTAGCTGCAAAGAGGTAAATTCCTGGAGCAAGTTTTTTTCCCCTAGCTATACTGAAAAGAGAAAGCGAAAGCAGGGTCTTAGCTGCAACGTGACAAAATGAGGCAGAGAGGTTTCTTTTTCTTTTTCCTCACCAAAAAAGGTAGGTACAAAACTGCAAACAATGGGAAATTTAGGGCAAGAGGAGGTTCAAGATTTTAAAACACAAAAGAAAAAAAGCTCTATTTAACTAGGGAATTGTAATAATTGAGATACTATTAATTGTATATTGTGTTGAAAGCAGAAATGGTTAAGTTGTGGTTTGGAGGAATATATGGGGGAAATTATTTGTTTTATTATTATTGGTAAATATAATTAATTGATTTGTAAGAAATTGGATTGCATGGAAATAATTGGAATATTCATGTTCATATTGATAAATATACAAAAAAGATAGTTATATAACTAATTGATTTATATTAAAATGTTGAATTTGTATTAAACAACTGTATTACATAATTAACCAATGTGAGGATGGATATAAAAATAGATGACAATGCAAAGGGTTATAATATAGAATAGAAGGGAAAAATTGAATTTGATTAAGATTAGAGTTGAGGATGAAGGGTAATATTGGTTTTTTTAAAAAATAGTTGAGGAATAAATATGGTAAAAAGGAAATATAGAAATTTTAAATTTAATTGAAATGACTAAATACTGTGTTGGAAGAAATATCCTTCTGGGTTCTGCTCCAAGTGGGGAAAAAGACACTGGAAACATGGAGACTGCTTGGAAAGATGGTTTAATGGTGGACAGGATCACATGGCTTGATGGGGCCCATTGTGTTAGTTTCTGTTGCTATTGTGTTGCAAATGTCCTTTGACAAAGGATTGAGTTTCTGCCTCTGGCCCATTAACAAAGGGTGGGGGGCAGGAAGGTGGGAGCTGCTTTGTCTGTAAAATATGCTTCTCCATTTCTCATCCAGGGAAATATAATATTCTGCCTTTTTAATATTTCCCAAAATATTTCATTCTTCTAGGAAAGGGGTGGCTGCTAACCTCCTAAACTGTTTAAATTTGTGGACCGGCCAAATACTCTGTTCAAAGAAAATATGTTGTATGTTTGTATGTGTGTTTCTAATTATTGCTATTTATTCATATTTGTTCTCTTTTATTCTTTAAAGTTTAACAATTCATTCTTTATCTTAATATCTTTATATTTGTTTGGGGTTGGCTTTCTTCCCTTTCATCTTTTTTATTGTACAGCAATCTTTCTCCTCAAACCTACCACCTTTGTCTTTTCTTTCTTACTTACTTTCTCTTCCCCCCCTCTTCTTCTTCTCCCTACTTCCTCTTTCTCCTTTTCCTCCTCTCTTCCTCCCTCTCTTACCTTCACTCCTATTCTAATTTCCCTTCCCTTCCTTCATCCCTGTCTATTGCTGTATCCTTTTATGCATATGGACTACTCAGAGGGCTGAAAAAGTTATTTTTGACTGGTCCTCGCACTTTTGACCAGTCCTCGAACTTACGACTGTCCTCACATTTTACGTTTTTGCCCTATCTTGTCACCATGGTGAAGAGAAGCAGTTGTGAAATGAGTGACATGGTTGTTAAGAATGCTGCACAGGCATAAATGTGAGGATGGTCATAAGTGTGAGGACCAGTCAAAAGTGCGAGGACCTGTCAGAAATGACTTTTTTTCAGCCCTCTGAGTAGTCCCTATACACATAGCCATGGCCACCCGGTCACATGACCAGCTAGCCACACCTACTCGGTCACATGACCTCCAAGCCATGCCCACAAAATAAGCCACGCCCACAGAACCGGTAGTAAAAGAAATTTAGAACCCACCCCTGGTTGGGGGTCACCACAACATGAGGAACTGTATTAAAGGGTCACGGCATTAGGAAGGTTGAGAACCACTGGTCTAGAGAGTGTTGTAAAGCACTATGAATGGGGTATATCATATGAGTCTAAGTGCTAGTGCTAAAGTAGTTAAATGCAACATCCATGCTTCATCAAGGTGAGTCATATCCCATCTTTGTTTCATTGAAAGGAATCATATTGCCTCTATGACATGAATCTTTGTCAATGTACTTTTAAATTGCTTTCTGGATGAGTCAAATTTGGCTCTGTACTGATTAGTTGCTCTCAGTTTTGCTAATTGTAGAATAAAAAAGCATTCTGTAAAAAAGGCAGCACAGAAAAAAAAACGATACTGCAATTGCTTAAACTTTAAAATGTGCTAGCATCATAGCATGTCTGTATCTAGTTATTTTAGTATCTGTTTTGCATAACTAGAAGGTTGAACATTGAAGTAGATCCCCATTGGCATTCAAGATGGAGTTTTCTGGTTTATTATACATGTTATTCTCTGGCTAACTAGGCTCTGGCACAATCGGGTCCTATGGATAGTACAGCATGCTGTGTATAATCACAGTGATTCAATATATAGAATAGATAACATACATTTATCAGATGAAATTGAAGAAACTAATCTGATGAGGTGAAAAACTTTTAGGCAATAATTTAGTGTATTAGACCTCATCACAGTTTCAGTTTTATTTACATCATCTTTTAGCAGGATAATTTTTGAAAATAGAAGTACCTGAAAGATATTTATTGGGAATTTACATATACTATGTAATGTATAGTACCTCACACCATCAATGATATATTTTTACAGCATCCTACCTGTATTCCATATAGAGGTTGCACTGGTTATTTAGCAAAAAGTAGTTTAATTGCTAAATTATCATCATTGTGATACATGCTGTTCCTCAAGATTTATAAAGGGCTTGAATAACTAAGCTTGATGTCTTTGCATTTTACATAATGTACTATAAATGGCTTCCTGTAACATGGAAAACTATTCTCAGTTATTAAAATAATTTGACATGGTATGGCTTATGCCCATTTAGTTTCCATCTGTGGACTTTGGGGCATTTTGCAAATACTGTAATCTTGATCTTATTGCAATTATTCTCTAAAATTTCCTCTATGCACTAATGTACAATTGAATCCAGAGGCTTTTCTTTGGGGACTAATGGATAGATAGCTAGAAAAATGCCGTGTGTGTGTGTGTGTGTGTGTGCGCGTGTGTGTGTAAAACAACTGCAGCCAGATTATTATTTCTCTTTTCTCTAATCTCTTTATGGTCACAAAAAGATTAAAGACAATCTCTGCATATATAGCTGACCGGAGTTGAAACAGACAAAATTGCACTTTTGACTTGGTGTCTTGATTTTTATGAAAAAATCAAGTAATAGAAAAGTGAGGGGTGTAGATTAAGAGGTAATTTTATAATCATTTTTGTGTTTTATTTGTATGCAAGTAAAATCGGAAGCAGCTTCTTTATTTCTTTTTAACCTTTCTTTTTGCCCCTTTGTCTTTGCTCCTTTTCTTTCCTTGTTTCTTTATTCTGTATGAGTTATGGTTTGTATTTTCTTTTTAAACTTTTTAATAAAAGTTTAATAAAAGTAATAGAAAAAAAATCCTTTGTATAATACTCTGCAAGGGACCACACAGAAAAAGTCCTTTTTCAAACCAACTTGGGCCAGGGTTAACAGTGCTAATATTGCTTGCATAAAGGTTTGAAACATGAACCAGTTAGGGACTGATACGACTCAGCTCCACCCCGCATGCGCACATGCCTCCCACCGGCCAGCTAATTTTCGGGTCTCTGCTGCACATGCACCAGTGGGGGCGGGGCACATGCAGGAGATTTGCATGCATTCCAGGGGGGTCATGCATGCATGCGTGGGGGAGCAGCGTGCTCCCCCACGCACACCCAGCGTGTGTGTGTGTGGTGCGCCCCCCCCCTTTGGGTCTTGTAGGCCTCCCTGCACCCTCCTGGGACCAAAAATGCGCTTTGGGGGGGTCACCGCACCCTCCCGCACCCCATTTTGGGCCTAGCAGGTCTCCCTGTAGTCTCCTGGGATCAAAAACAGGCAGCAGGGCAGGAGGCTGCAGGGAGCCTACTAGGCCCAAAACGGGTTGGGGGGTCACGCACGCATGTGCAGGGGGATGGAGGAATGTGGGGGCGTCACGTACGCATGCGTCGGGGTCGCACATTGCATTATGGGTGCAGGCAGGAATGTGCGCTGTCACCTGCATGCGTATGCGCACTTTTGGCACGCGATGACAAAAAGGTTACCCATCATTGCTCTAGTATAATAGCCTCACATTACTGTTATGAAACTGAACCTGTTTATATTGTTTATGAATATAATGTGTGAACATAGGAAGCAACAAACGCTGTCCATCTAGCCCAGTATTATTGACACTAATTTGCAGCAAGTCTACAGGATTTCAAGCTGCGTATTTTTGTCCTCAGTCAGAGATACCTGGGATTGAATCCGAAACCTTCTGCATCAATGCTTGTGAACTACTATGAATCAATTACAATTCTTTCACTAGAGAAGAGAAATTGGCATGTGAAGGAGGGGAAAAAATGCATGTTACATGTTTCTAAAGAAAGCAACTAAGGATGTGTGTCTGAAATCTCTTCTTATTCCAGACAGAATGGTATGAAATGATATGAACTCATGCTATAGAAGCTGATTGTTCATTCTAATTAGCAATAGAGTACTTGCTACATTTGAAAATGTAATTGAAGTCATCACTTGATTCATCCCTGGATACATTAGTCAAAAAGGAGTGGAAGTATTGATCTCAGAGCTTCAGCTAATCCCTCAAACCAAAAATTGTAATCATGGTGATGAGATTGTTCTTGGAAGAATAGCATGTTAGTGTTTTCTAGGAATCTAACTCAAAAATTATTTTATAGATGGTTCTGGGCAGTTTACAATATAAATATATCAATATTAGAACACATACTTTAAAATATTTTTAAAAACCACAAATCTATTGGATTTAAAAATATAGAAATCTAATAAATAAAATTCCTGAAATCCTAAAAGATATAGATAAATAGGCTTGATACCCCTTTATAAACTTTAATATCAGTTTGCTCCACAATGATAACCCCACCATGGAAAAGGCAGAACCTACTGCTCTTATGTCCATACAGGCTAGTGGTGAAATCTAAACCGGTTTGCTGGCATGCTGCGCGCCCGCATGTGCAGTTCACACCAAATGCATGCTGAACGCATATGAGCACTATGTGCCAAAAGGAGGCTTGGGAAGGTAAGTAGAACAGTGGGGGGGGCAATCAGCAGTGGCGCGCGATCTTGGGAACCTTTTAAAAAACTTTTTTAAAGCATTTTTTACTATCGGTTCAGGCGAATAGGTAGTAAAAAATGCTTTAAAATTTTTTTTTTTAAAGGTTCCGACAATCACAGCTGTGCTGCACGATTGCACGATCGTAGGAACCTTCTTTTTTACTTTTTTAAAGCATTTTTTTACTACCTATTTGCCCGAACCAGTAGTAAAAAAAATGCTTTAAAGAGGTTAAAAAATGATGATCGCGCAGCACAGCTGTGATTGTCGGAACCCTTTTTTAAACCTTTTTAAAGCATTTTTTTTACTACTGGTTCGGGTGAATAGGTAGTGAAAAAATGTCTTTAAAAAGTAAAAAAAAAAGGCTCAGACGATCACAGCTGTGCTGCACGATCATCTGAGCCTTTTTAAAAACTTTTTAAAGCATATTTTTACTACCTATTCGCCCGAATTGGTAGCAAAAAAAAAATGTTTTAAAAATAAAAAAAAAAAAAAGTTCTGACAATCACCTGAGCAATGTGCGATTGTCGGAACTTTTTTGTTTTACTTTTTAAAGCATTTTTAACCACTGGATCCAGAGAACCAGTAGTAAAAAAAAATGCTTAAAAAGTAAAACAAAAAAGTTCCGATGATCGCACGTTGCTCAGCTGATCGTCGAAAATTTTTTACATTTTTTTTACTACCAGTTCTGTGAACCAGTAGCATTTTTTACCAGCCCGAACCAGTAGCATTTCACCCGTGATACAGACTGCATAGCAGTTGAAGATGCATTGATAATCTCTCACCTCTCAAGCCATTCAACTTGTGACCAACCAGAAGAAACCTAAAGAGATTCCTATGATCTCTTTGTGAGGAACAGTTCTCCAGAGTGCAAATAGGCAATTCCCTGATCTCTTGTTCTCTGAAGATATTTTCATCAACCACATCCTACCACTTGGCCACCAATGGTGCTGTCCCTGCTCATGGAACTGCTCACTATACATCATAATGCACCATAGTGACTATCTTGAATCGAGGTTAGACAGTGAACAGCAAATAATGTTTACTGTTTCAATCTAAGGTGATAAAAGACTTTTGGGAGATGTCATACACTGACATAAGAAAAAAGCTGATTGACAGGTGGATCAGCCTCCCGGAATACCCCCCCATCAGCTGTTTCCAGAGGTGAATTTTAGCAGCAGGTTCCTTGGTTGTGAGCTCTGTGCCTTGCTTTTTTTTTTTCTTTTTTTCCTGCAAAAAAAGCCTCCTTCTGAAAGCCTCCGAAACAGCTTCAGGAAAAAAGTCTCTGAAGCTCTGTTTGGGGGCTTCTTTTCTGAAGCTCTGTTTAGGAGCTTCTTTTCTGATGCTTTGTTTCTGATGCTTTTTTCAGCCTCTGAAACCTCTGTTTGAGAAGCTGGGCGGGACTACATTCGGAGTATAAGACGCACCCAGATTTTCACCCTCTTTTTGGGGGGGTGGGGAAAGGGAAAGGTGCATCTTATACTCCGAAAAATAGGGTATTTGACCAAGGAAACCCCAAGAATCTATCATAAATCATTCTGATTCAGCATTGTCTCAAATTTGAATAGTCACTTAATGAGTGGTCATAACCTGAGGACCACCCATACAGTAATTCAGCTGATTATTATCAGTTTTCTGGTGGCAAACTCACTCAAAACTCATAGATTATCTTTTCAAGTGCTTTCAACAAAACTATGTCTTTGCATGATGACTCAGTCTTGTCACAGAAATATATTTTATGTTCTAAACCTTGAGGTGATAAGTCCTTCCGCTAACTAAACTGTGCATATAAATGTGGAGAAAGGAACATTTATAATGGTGGAATTATTTATTTTGAATGTTTTTCTAAGATAATTAATACGTCATGCATTCAGATATCTTTTTGGGAGCACTTAAAGATCTTTTTGTTTTTCTCAAAAATGTCAGATTCAAACTCTATTTGAACTTTTGTTTACTTCATTCAGATTCAACATGCATAAAGTTATTATTTATCTAACTTATTTTATTGCGTTTTGACAATTTTATTGTAAGTCACCTAATATATTTGAAGAATGAAAATATGTACCTAAATAATAAATAGAACAATTTAGTAGTTTGGTGGAAAAGAAATTGGTGTTGGTTGGGGAATATAATGCATTTTTTCAAACTTTAAGTGTAATATGTGCCCCACCCCCAGTCTGCAACTCCCAAGCAAGCTGGACAATTTCAAAAAACCTGAATTCTAAAGTAGCAAAAAAATGATGTATAAAAGCCAATCTCTTTTCCAGGATAAGTACATTTTGGGATAGGAAGATTGATTTAGTATCCATGAGTGGTATAGAAAGATGTAGTATCCATGATGATATGGTGTGAAAGACAAACCTTTTCTGGGTTCATGTTGTCATTACTGCTTCCCTACTTGAAGAACAACTAGTTACTTTAAATCTGTAAGACAACATAAAGGCAAAAATAAACACAACAATGAAGTGATGCAGTTTCAAGATCCATAGTTCATTCAGTTCAACTCTATTTACTTAACATTTTCAGAAGCAAAAGAAGCTAGATCTGTCTGCAGAAATGCATACAAATGCATTCGGTAACCTCCATGCTTGCCTTTTGAGAAAGATCAAGTACTGAAGCCTAGCTGGTAAATTAAGTTATTAGTTCTTTTATTATATTCTATGGTCAAACAGTTGTGAAATTATTTTCTGTTGAAGCTTTATAAACTGACACTTGAAATCCCTAAATCAATTGCTATTGTTTGCTTCTAATTTCTGAATATTACAACAGAATCCACTTACTTCAGTGGTCTATATTTTCTCCTTCAGCTTCTTTGTAAGGAGGAAAGACCTGGAAAATAAGCTATTAGATTGGAACTCATCTTTTAAAAGTTCATCTTTGCAGCTACCCTGATTTAATAGTTGTTTCCAATGATTAAGTGATCCAAAGGAACGAAAATCAAGCAACAGAATCCTTGAATCTTAGCTTGCTATACAACTTCTTCTCTGTGTAGGTTTACTGTGATATTTTTATTAAGATTCAGTTTCTTTCTCTATAACTCTTTTCAGTTTAAAATTTTTGCTTATTTTAGAGAGTTGTGGGTAAGATGTTCACAACTATGTCAAGATAGTGCCTCACTGAGGAGGTAGGGTTTGTTACAGTGGTGAAATTTAATTTTTTTTACTACCGGTTCTGTGAGCATGGCTTGGTGGGCCTGGCTTGGTGGGCATGGCAGGGGAAGGATACTGCAAAATCTCCATTCCCTCCCCACTCCTGGGGGAAGGATATTGCAAAATCTCCATTCCCACCCCACTCCAGGGGAAGGATACTGTAAAATCCCCATTCCCTCCCTACTCCTGGGGGAAGGATATTGCAAAATCTCCATTCCCACCCCACTCTGGGGCCAGCCAGAGGTGGTATTTTTCAGTTCTCCTAACTACTCAAAATTTCCGCTACCAGTTCTCCAGAACCTATCAGAACCTGCTGAATTTCACCCCTGGTTTGTTAGTATTATCTGTTCATAACAATGTGAAGTCACAGTTGAAAATTCTTTAGTTGCTGTTGACCTTCATACACATCAAATTCTTCCCAAGAATTTAGGATGTCGCAAAGTAGTGAAGTAGTACCTTGTATGTGCAGATCCAGGAAGTGAGGCTTTTTCCAACTGACAAAAGTTGCCAATGCACAGTTTTTCTAAATTCCATCCAAAATTTTTGTGTATGGCAACCAGAGGGTTAATAACCCCTGGGGCCACCACAGCCAGTTTATCCCATAATCTTTCAATTTTTGTCTTCAGATCTTGATACTTTGTGATCTTCTCAAATTCTTTGTCTTCTATTCTACTGTCCTCTGATATTGCCACATCAATTATCCACTTTGTTTTTGTTTTTGTTTTTTTGAAACACAGCTATAGCTGTGTGTTATGACCAAGACTTTATCCATCTATATTTAAAAACCCATAATAATTTAACTGCTTAGTTTCAATTATTTTTTTCAACTATGTGATTCTACCAATGTTTCTTTTCTGGTACATGGTAATTTTTACAGACCTTTTGGTGAATTATTTTGGCAACTATGTTATATCATTGTTCATCATCTGTTTGTGCAATCTACTTGCATAAGCTGAATATATGACCGATTCTTTCTTCTTTGCACAATCTGAATTATTTTGATGGTTTTTAATTTCTGACTTTTTATTGCATGGGTGTCAAACTTGTCATGTCACGTTGCTGTCAAGAGATGTATCATGACATTTTTGCCTTCGTGGAGCTGGGATGGGCTTGGTCTGTGCATGACGCATTCGGCCCGTGGGCCACCAGTTGGACACCCCTATTTTATTGCATTGGGTTTTTTAAAATGTTCCAGTTGTAAGTCTATGCCAGGATTCAACTTTATCCACATTCACTTTGATTTTTTTGTAGAAGTTGACTGTGTAATGCTTTTCCTTGCCAACATTCTGTTCATGGTTTTATTACATTATTTTGTTATTCACTTTTTCTTTCCTGTACATTTAGTAAGTTGCAATTTTTTAACTTGTATCAATACTTGTTCTTGGCTGTCTTTTATATACTCAGACAATGTACCTATTTCTTCTTTGACAGTTTGTTTAACTTGAAGTAAACCCCTGTGTCCATTTTTGTAGGGCAGGTATAATATAGTAATATCACTAAGGTGATGTAATGCATAGTGAATGCTCATCTGTTTCCTTGCCAGTTGTCCAGTTCAAATAACTGTTCAGTTAATAATTCCAAAAGTGTATCATATCACAGGTATAATCCAAGTGTTGGTGACTTTGATGGTGCTTCCGCTATTCAATTTTCTCCTCTTGGATATATTCTTTACTAATCACCTTTTTAACTTGTCCATGCTTGATGTTATCCAACTGTAAAAATATTATTATTTTGGGAAATAGAGGGAATGGATATGTCATAAATAGATTAAATAAGATGTGATGAAATTGCTACGATTTCATTATTACACTTTTTGTCCCATTATTTATTTTATTTTATTTTATTTTATTTTATTTTATTTTATTTTATTTTATTTTATTTTATTTTATTTTATTTTATTTTATTTTATTTTATTTTATTGAATTTGTATACTGCCTACTCCCGAAGGACTCAGGGCGGTGAACAGCCATAGAATAAAACATATAGATACAAAATTTAAAATAAACTAAAATGAATTAAATAATTTGGCTGAACAAATTTAAAACCCCAATAATTTAAAATCAAATTTAAAATTTCCATTTAAAAAGGGGAAAGACTTAGGAACACTGTTCCTATAAGATGCTCATTAGGCTGTCTATTATCTCACAACTCAACTTTCAGATAAATAGGTAAGAGATGGTGGGAGAGGAAGAGACAGACAGACAGACAGACAGACAGACAGACAGACAGACAGATAGACAGACAGAGAGGAGTGGGGAGGGAAGGAGAGAGGAGGTGGAATTGTAAGATTGCCCAGTGAAAAAGCAGAAGCAAAGATATTTTGGCCATGAAATATGTTGTGAAAAAAGTACTGAACCATATGTGTTTTGTAACTGTTATTTCACTACAGTTTTGTACATTTGTTAATTGTTTGCCTTTAATTAATAAGGTAAAACATGGTTCACATTCACTGCACTGTTAATTTTGAGCAGATGTTTTGCTGTAATTCAGCATCTTGAGCAGAGCTCTGGTTTGAGGACAAATGATGTTACTCTTTTAATTATAAAATAATAAGTGTATGTTGTCCAACAGCACACTAACTGGGATTTTTAAAAGATCAAATGGCACAGTAAAAATGTCCTCATTTACAATTCAATCAAGTCAATGAGCTGAAAGAAGTTCAGATCAATCATCTACCTACTAATTAGTACAATTCTAAGATCTAAAGAAAAGCCCCTCAAGGCATTAATGTCTTTGCTAAATTCTAAGCGTACGTTTTCTCCCTTATAGTAGGACAGGCTGGGTAGAAAATGTTGAATCAAAGCTTCAGTCTTTGAAGCTTAACTGTGCATTAAATATAGTGAAGAATAATAATACAGTGTCTGATTATACAGTGATTAAAAACAATCAAATCAAACCTTTATTACTGTCAAAGATGAGCATAAGGATGGTGGGTTACAAAAATTATAAATCATAAAAATAGAACAGAATAAAATTACATATAGAAAGCTAAAAAGTATTTAAAAAAAACTTACTTCCTTTCTCTTACCATAACTCTTCAGCAGGACATCTCTGCTTTCCTACTCATCAGCTAGCATTTTCTCCTTGTTCCCCCACCAGCCTTAATTCCTGACTTCTTTAGCATGGTATCATCAGGAATCTGCCATCATCTCCAAACAGCTTGTTCAAAGACATCTGGCAGATAACAGATTGCTCTAAACTTTGGTGGATTGAGCTGGTAGTTATTGACTATCAACATATGAAAATGACTTTTTATATACTGCAAATCCAAAACAATTTATTTATTTATTTATTTTAATTAGTTAGTTTGTCAAAACAAGCAAAACTATGTTAAAATAAGATAAGAGATACAAGTATAAACATGATTATGAATACAGGAAATGGATACAAATAAATGGGAACAGTAATACAGGGACAGTAGGCACACTGATGCGCTTATGCACGCCTCTTACAGACCTCTTAGGAATGGGGTTAGGTCAACAGGAGACAGTCTAAGGTTAAAGTTATGGGGGTCAGGGGATGTAACCACAGAGTCAGGTAGTGCATTCCAGGCATTGACCACTCTGTTGCTGAAGTCGTATTTTCTGCAATCAAGTTTGGAGTGGTTCACCTTAAGTTTGTATCTATTGGATGCTCCTGTATTATTGTGGTTGAAGCTGAAGTAGTCATTGACAGGTAGGACGTTGTAGCAGATAATTTTGTGTACTATGCTTAGGTCAGACCAAAGGCGGCGTAGTTCTAAATTGTCTAAGCCCAAAATTTCAAGCCTGGTGGCATAAGGTATTCTGCTGTGAGCAGAGCATTTGAGCATTTGATCAAATTTGATAAACATTGGGCGACCATCTAATGCTGCGGTCCTCTTTCCAGCTTGGCATCTCGGTGTGTGGGAGGAGGGATGATAATTCTGTGCAAGTGGCAGGTGTGCATGCATGCACAGCTCCATTTGTGTGAGCGCAAGCCCCCACCGCTCGCAGGAGTGGAGCCCCGTGCCACTCAAGTGGATCTGCGTGCACAAGCACAAATGCCCATCATGCGCACAAGTGGAGTTGCGCGCACATGTGCACTCACCTGCCACTTGCATGGCCCGATTCCAAACGGGTCATGACTAGGTTGTGGGCCACAGCCTGGGGATAGGGGACCCCAGATCTAATGGGAATTTGGTCATGTTTATCAGGTATTCTAAAACATGAAGTATGGTTGAAGAACCTAGACTGAAATATATACTATAAGTTTGAACATGCGCAGAGTACTACATAGATTTGCCTGTGCAGATTTTATAGTCTACTCTAAGACAATACTAACTACAGGTGTGAAAATCTCTCAATATCTGATTCAAATCATTTTTGAGTTATTATGATTAAGAAAAAAGATGGTGTTCCCATGAATATAAAGGCCCAACAGATTGTCTTTAAACTGAATCTTTCAACGAATCTCTCTGGATATTACAATGCCTCAAAAGCGTGATATGACCTAGCTT